AAAGAATAACAGTAAACAATACTCTCAGAACAAAACAAACAGGGTGACAAAACAAACCGAGTTTATGGTTTTTCTAATCAATTCTCATTAAAACGCTATGCTGGCAATCAATTACAGAATTCCCGTAATGATGTAATATGTTTTACTGCTCATGTGCCACATTAGGCAAAATGCCAAGAATGTTTTGGTTTTTCGGCAATGCATTTGCAGGGATATGTTTCCTGTAGTATGCATCATATAAGCAGACTTCTTATCCCTCCTCTCTCCCGCTTTTATTTGCTGATGTGGAAGACAACATATCACTTGTCATACAACTTCCTCTTCTGTTAATCGATGCGTGTTAAATGAATATATTTCTTCGGGATTCAGGTAATGCATAGGACAGTTGCCCTAAGCTGTTAACTTGGACAATTGGGTGGAAGAAAACATAGTCCCCTGGGAAGATGTGGCTCAATGAGCTCAATTCCATATCATGACCTTTTCATGAACAAGAATATAAATGTATAAAGCCACATACAGCAGCTGCTTATTTATTTATTTTTTGCACCTGATACCTACTGTATGTGAGCATGTGTCTCATTTCACTGGAGAGGAAATGGGAAGGTTACATGCGAGGTAAAGTGCAACCATCTGATTGAAAATTAGATATTTCAACAAATCATGGTTCATAGCAGGATTTAATAATTATATAGTTAATAAACTTGGTTAAGACTCTCATTCAAATGAATTGAAATATCACTTCTAATCTAATGAGCTACAATACCAAGCACACATATATACTGGTGGTATCTGTTCTTCAATCTGCCTTTGCTAAGAGATTTGATGAGGTTGGAAGTCCTCTGAGATGAACTCAGATTTCAGATAATCTACAATTCTTGAAAAACCATCAACCCACTTTCAGATTTTTGGGAAAGCTTGCATGTCTCTTCCCAAAGGTGGAACATGCATACATTCATGTATACATACATACATGTATACATGCATACATACATATGGTACATACACAAAAATTTTCCAAAAGATGGCAAAAGTTATTTCTTAAAATTATATATTATATTGTGGGCATATTCCCACTAAATAAAAATGTTTTAGCTTGTCAAATTATTACTTTATATATATATATATATATATATATATATATATATATATATATATATCAGCATATTAGCACAAATATATGCAGTATTTTTCTGAGCATATTAAAAGGACATCTTTTGTTTTTAAAAAGAAATCTTGCTTTGGTTTAAGAATGTTGCTAAATAATACATTCTCCATACTACAGCAACCAAGTATTATAAAATCAATACCAAACAACAATACTTGTACACTCAAATCAGATATCATAAATTATGTATGTAATCTATGGACTACAAATGAGATATGTCCTATGACCTTCAGCTGTTTTTTTTTTATTCTTATTGTTAAAAGGAAATAATATTGTGAATGTGACAGTACACTATAATTAATCTCCCAATTTTGGGATGTAAAACAGTTGTATGTTGTCCTGAAAAGCAGTCTTCAGAATAGAGAATCTGTTTGAAACAGAACAATGTAAAACTGGGTTTAGGGTAAACTCGGGGCATTTTGCCAAAATAAGCCCAAACTGAATAGTATTATATTTTTATAATGCTATGTGGAGGAACAGCTGGCAATCTAATCTACCCTTTATCTCACTAAAAAGCATGATGTGAAACCTTGATTAACTAGAACCATAACGGGAAGTGGAAGGTTAGTGTTTACGGGTCATTTGTTGACGTCAATAGCATATGGGCTTGTAATCTAAGAGGAGTATTATAGTAAAAAGCATGAATTAATGAATGAAATCTTTTTAAAAATAGATACGGTGTGCACTGGTGAAACAGAGAAAGGGAAAGGGTGGAATAAATCTGAATGAATACGATCTGATTTTGTCAAGTTGACTTGGTGAATACATTCATGGAAGTTTAAAATTGAATGAAAAGGATAAAATGTCTGTCAAAAAGTATAAGTAGTAGTTGTGGGTGCTCATCAAGTATCCCTAGCTCATAGGTTAGTCCAGGGGTGGGTTCTACTTACTTTTACTACCGGTTTGTATCGTGCCTGCGCGGCACTTCTGCGCATGTGCAGATCACTTCTGATGTCATCTAGGTCAGTGGGCGGAGCCTCCCGCCGGTTTTACTACTGTTTCTTGCGAACCAGTCCGAACCGTGGCCAACCTACCACTGGGTTAGTCATAGCTGTATGTTACTGTAGCTATATGAGGAATGGGGCTAATGAAAGAAGTAAGGATGTATCAGGCCTGTCCCAGCTTGGGCATTTAAGAAAGACCTTTGAGTCTGTTTGTAGCAAAAGGTATACTTTTACTAAAGCCAAAAGGTTACAGCATAAGCAAAGCCAGATCTGAATATTCCCACGTGAACCCAGTCCTTTTCCCTTCTCCTGGGCCCTCCCCCCTTGGTCCTTCCATAAATGTCCAATGGTATTCAAACTAGGTGTTTTGGTAACCGTCCTAAAGTTTGACGCCTTTTGGTTGGTGTTTGCATTCCGTTCTCATGGTTATATCCTTGGATCTGCCAGGCTCTCTTCCGGGCCAGCACCTCTGCTTCCTCTCACTCTGTCATCCTCCCTCTCTATATCCCCTTACTCCTCCCTCCCCCCTTCTGATAAGATCTGACAGGATGAGTTTTGGGGAATGAATGCAATGTGGAAATGGTTATTCTTTTATCTGACATGGATAGATAGATTGATGGAAATGAGATGAAAGGATACAGAAACAGTGATTAGGCTCTTCAGAGACCAAAGTTTGATGAATATTTACTTAGAAGTTTGTTCAAATACATGTTTTAAATGTAAGTTTGTTCATGTCCCTATCAGTATTTTTGGCTTACTGTTTGTAATCAAATGTTGAGAAAATTGTTGAAGAATATTAGAAACTATCAATGTGAGACAGATATTATTTGGTAGTGTCAAAAATGGATCATGGGAAAATAGACATGGAAGAAAAGGAAAGAAATGAAAGAAAAAAGAGTAAGATATAGAATGACTAGAGGAAAGGAACATATTCATTCTATATGAAAAAAATATTAGAAGATACAATTATCTTCCTATAAGATGAATAAAAATATAGAAAGTTTATGTGAAAACTGCTTGGAACAAAGTGGAAAGAATTATGTTATAGAGTGCCAGAAAAATATGTGGGTTATGCTGATGGCATATTCTTGGGTCAGAAAAAAAATGCTTCCAAGAATGTGGATGAATGATAGTATTTACTGTGTTTAGACAGAAAACATTAACTGTAAAGCTTCAGGAGCTTAATGGAAAATAAATATTAAAATAAATGTTGTTTCAAGATTTATATAAATTCTTAGAGGATTCATGTAATAATTTGTGTAAACACAACAGATACTGAGAAAATGTTTAAAGGATCATCAGATATATTTGGAATATATTGGAGGAAAATTAAATTTTCAAATAACTCATTAGAATCTGATTTTATAGAATAATTCAGTTAAGATTTTAGCAATTCATTTTGATGGCATTCATGGACAAATTATTATTTTATACCAACTTATTACTAAATCAATTTTCCAAAATATCTGAAAAGATGATTTGGATTACATAAGACCATTAAAGCATTTCTTCACTTCATTTTGGATGGACTGTTTAAAAAATGAAAATAATTTTTTAAAACTAAATAAAAAGGACTAAATAAGCAGTTTCCAGAAGATGCAACAGAATTGAAATAATGCTGCTGAAATAATTTAGGATAGAACTGCAGTAAGGTAATTATAGAAATAATAATTAAAGTTTTTGTATAGAAATGACAGTAATATAACAAAAATTGAAACAAAAATTAATGTTGACGGTTGCTAATGTTCAAGACTGCACAATAAAAATCAAGAAAAAAATATCATGAAAAATGATAAGGCTTGCAAATACTGGTAGTAATGAAGATGTTTAGTAAATGAGATTAAGTCAAGAGTGATTAAAAAGTGAATAAAAATATAAAATAATAACTAAATAAAAAGTGAACGAAAGTACAAAATATTTTAATATAGTTTTGTAACAGAGTAAATGAGTGTAGTTCATCAATTTTCAAAACAAATGTTATATATGAAAGAAAAGTTGATAGTGTGATAATGGAAAGGAAAAATCGAGGAATCATGGTTGGATATAATGGTTGAGATCCTCAAAAAGACAGATGAGAATTTTAAGAACAAAAGGCAGAGTATTAATTTTTGTTTACATACTTAGAAGAAAGGATGGCATCAAAACAGAAAAACACAGAGATGTATACCGAATAGTCTTCAGGTAAACCAGAGATAGTTACACGTTTGCCATTTTATATCTTGCTTTTAATCTTTTATTTTCTTAACTAAATTTATGTACTTCATAAATTCGCCCACCATCCAGTCGATAGATTCTAGGCAGCTTACAACATAAGAAAACCATTAAAAACCTAATATTTTCTCAAAGCTCATACATAATGCCGTTCTACCTGTTTCTAGGGTGGCCCCGCAGGCCAGATCTAAGCACCCCGTGGGCCAGATCTGGGCCCCAGGCCTTGAGTTTGACAACCCTGCTCTAATTTAATGACATCTTTCACTTGAAGACTTACTAAAAGAGACCAATTTTCACTTCTTATAATTCTTCTCTTTTTATAACACTACAGTACTTTCTCCAACAGCATGATGTATGTTTGCACGCAAAAAAGAAAATCCACAGTGATTTTATATCAAAATGCAAACCATCTGCTTGATCTGAACATATACAGGATGGAAACCATTTTTTCCATCAAGTTTGGCAGGAAAAAGAAGACAGTGTATTTGTGAAATTATCAAAATGCACCTTCAATTTTAGCCACTTGGTTTGTTAATTTGTAGCATAAACTGATTAGTGTATTAATTACACTAAATAAAATATGTTGTTGCCATGCCATACATCACTTATAAAATAGCGATATCCTAAAAAAGGGCTCACATGGAGCTAGAATTTTCTTCTGCCCAATGGAATCAACATACCTCTTGGTTTCAGATATGGGTTTTCCAGTCTCTTGGTCAGACTGCTTTATCTCAGTAGGGATTTCAGGAGCCAATGATCCAAAGTCAGGAAGAGATGCAACTGTGCTATCAGTCCGCTGGCTATCACAAAGCTGGGAAATACTGCAAAATAATGGACAGTTATAAAAAAACTAATATTAGTAAAGCACAAGAACTGCACATATGTTTTAAACTGTATTCAGAGACTAGATTAACTGCACATTTATCTCATGCTTGGCTCCTAGTGGGAAATCTAGTCTTCTACAGCCCACTTGAAATTAAACAGATGTAGAGTTGACCTAGAAATTTCAGTGGAGCTCAATGTATGAGATCATTTTTAAAAACCAAACTAGGAATCCAACTGCACTCTGCAGTTTGACAATTGCACTCTAAATTTCTATTTCATTGTTTGAGTAAATCGAATCAAATTACAATAAAGCGCAAGTATAAAATACACATGCACATAAATGCTCATAATTAGCAACACACATACCCACACAAATATTCAGCATTACTAAGATGTGTAAAAATAACAGAATGTTGAAACAGCAGAAATTCAACATCAAAAGGTTATGCCAATATGTTTTTAAAAGATGTTTAAATGCAAGAAGGTAGGGCTTTACTGAATCTCACCAAGAAAAGAATAAGGGCTGTGTCACTGGTACCTGCCAAATAAATATCCATTGTGGATCTGTAAGAAACCAGATTATCTAAAAGTGATCTTCAAGCCTGGCAGAATCATATGAAAAAAAATTAACCCTTAGATATGGCTTTTTCTGACCATTTAAAAACTAGTGCTAGCGTATTACACTGAGCCCAGAAAGAAACTGATGACCAAAGTAATATCTAAGCTGTTCTAACCATTCTTGTCTTACATATCTGGTGACTGGATATTGTATCAATTCTGAGGGATCATTAAAGTTATACACCATTCCAGTCAGGATTCCAGTCAGGATATCATTAATGTAACATTAATGAAACTTCATCGAATCTTCATAGAATAGTTGAGCCAGGCAAAGGTTATACATGCTTCTAATACTAATTGGACTTGCAAAGGCATCATAACATTTGGAATCTCTTCTAACTGCATATTTCTTTATTCAATTGAGGTGTTTCATCGTCTAAAGGTTCCTGTGTGTACACCACAACAACATGTGCTTTTTCCATGCCTTGTGCAGTTTATCTACCATCGTCCAGACCACAATAGAATTCACACACAGTGTAAAAACATGGGCAGGACAACCTTTTGATGATACTTAATTTTGAGGACTTCCTCAAGGACTAAATGACTACGGCAGACAGAAACCATGTAGTACACATATGTGAAACCTGAATTTTTTAAGAAACTTTTCCTCTAAAAAGATTGCCAACTTCCACAATCTTTCTTAAAAGTGAACTCTAGCATTAGTTTAGCAATGTTTTTCGCTATCCGAATTCTAGTTTCTAGAACTGCCCTCAACTTTTCAGTATACCAAGAATTTTAATTAGTTCTATGTATTTGGAGATGGTGGTCTTTGGCAGTAATAATACTGATCATCTTAGGACAAGTCATTTTGGAGAGTGACTGCCAGAAATATCAATAGGAATAATCTCAGCCATCAACTGACATTAGAAGGCAAAAGTGTGCCAGGAAGACAATCATTCAATGAGCCTTCTACACTTGCAAAGATTAGAAACTTTCAGCAACTCAAACAGAGATAACTCCTTTTCTACTAAAAATATTGAATTAGAGGGATGTTATATAAAAGATCATATGAAGATACTGATAGCTGAAATATTGACTTAAATTGCTTGATTTCAGCTATATTTTAGGAAAGTTTTTAGATTACAGTGTATTGGTGAAGTAGGAGTACTATATTAATCACTGTCTGTAACCAAGCTTGTATATTCAGCATACAGTTCTAAAATATGAAAATAGCTATACAATAATCACTGAACAGGTGAATGAACAGAGGAAAATATGTTTGTTATAGGAGTGCCCTCTACTGATCAGAGATAAAATCACAACTTCAAAATACAGTAGCTCCTCTCTGAGGATGATAGGCGGTTCAGAAATTTGAAAAATAAAATAAAATACATTGACCACTGGGATACTTATAAAAAGCTGAACACTGGTGGGGATGGGATTTATTGTTTATTCATTGGTTTGATTTATATGTCGTCCTTCTCCGGAGACTCAGGGCGGCTTACAATGCATTAAGCAATAGCCTTCATACTTTTGTATATACCTGCTTAGTAGGGCTTTTGGGCCTCCCCTAAGCAGTTATCTTTTTTATACGGTCCTCATTTTACCTACCTCGGAAGAATGGAAGGCTGAGTCAACCTTGAGCCTGGTGAGATTCGAACTTGCAGTAATTGCAGGCAGCTGGCAGCTAAGTGCTACTTAACAGCACTTTAGAGGTGCTGTTTAGCGGACTAATGATGAATGAACACACAAACCATCATTCATAAATCCTCCATTGTGGTTAAAGCAAGACTCTTGAGTAGAAATATACTAATTAACATATTAATGCTGCAAAAATTATTAGTCTGTAGCAGTAAAAAAAGAACTCTAATAATTTAAAAACTAAATATAGTGTTTCTTGGATATTCTTAGGCAAACTTCTATCTACTTTTAATTATAAAAGTTAGATATAAGAGCCTTGGTGGTGCAGCAGACTAAGTGCTGTTAAATAGCACCAGCTGCCTGCAATTACTGCAAGTTCGAATCTCACCAGGCTCAAGGTTGACTCAGCCTTCCATCCTTTCGAGGTAGGTAAAATGAGGACCCAGATTGTGGGGGCAATAAGCTGACTTTGTATAAAAAAGAACACCGCTTGGGGGGGGGGCAAAAGCCCTACTAAGCAGGTATTACAAAAGTATGAAGGCTATTGCTTAACGCATTGTAAGCCGCCCTGAGTCTCCAGAGAAGGGCAGCATATAAATTGAACCAATAAATAAATAAATAAATAAATAAATAAATAAATAAATAAATAAGGAATTTGAACAAAGAAAAGAGGTAGCAAATGAACTTGGTTTATCAGTATAAAAAGTATATGTTCTGGAATAAATATATGTTTCACAATTTTCATAGCATTTATAGCAATACCGAGCACTACATAGATATATAATTAGCACATTATATATTGTTCAACATAAGAACAAAATCCATGACTTTTTTATCCTCTATTAATTCAATCATCTTACACCACTTATGCCTATGCAAATTCTTTAAACCAATGTTTTTTTTTTTTTTACAAATTTTACCCCCTTTTTTTTCTCCCCCCCTCCTCCCTAACCCCCCCTCACCACCCATCCCCCCCTGTGACTTCTTCACAACAAAAACCTATTTCATAACAGATTACATAATATTTTACCATCCCCTTACTCCCTCCTCTAAATACTGACCCTTACTTATTAAAAATATTATTAATATTGTTACTTCCCCCTTTTACCATACATTTCAAAAAAAAAAGCATTCTGCTATAACATTGTATGTTAACTTCTAATTTAACATAATATTATTATAACTCCCAGTTTAGCAATAATCTGCCCTTTTTCTCCTCCCCCAAACTTATATCTGTATCATTTCAAAACAACCTTCCACTTTAAGACTATATAATAAATCCTACTTTAACATTTAATCTTTTGTATATATTAATATAACATTTCAAAGCAGCCTTCCCCATAAATTCTAATTTAACATTTAATATATCACTTAAACATCCCTTTTCTTAAACTAATCAATCTGTAAACTAACCTATTTCCACCCACTTTCCTACAAAATTACCATGCACAATTCTTAATATCTTTAATCCACTGCCCACTCTGCTAAAATATATATATATGTATGTATATTTCGTTATAAAAAAAAAAGACAATGACTTTAAATTTATAATCCATATAATATCTTCTTTAATGTCTTTCCACTGGATTGTTAAGTCCATTATCCATAATAGGGTAACATAGCATCCTGGTGCAACAGTTTGTTCCAAATCTTCAGTCATAATCTGCCCCCATCAGTAATGAATATCCTCATATATATATAAAAGTAAAAACAACACCCGAGTGACATTATGATTATATTCCATATAGTTGTAATTGTGGCTTTCATCAGGATTATTAATTCCCATCATCCTAGTGGGTAACACCCAGATCTTCTGCATGCCCCAGCGTAGCTCTCTTGCCTTGTAACTCAGGATAATTATAATATATTTATCGATAAAAGAAAGAAATCCAAAGTAGATAATTCAAATCCAACAATTTAAGGCTCTTTTCACACCCCAAAATTACGGCATTGCAGAGGTCTGTCACTGTCCTCAGGATAATATTAACCAATACTTCGCCTCCACTATCTTTTCACATATTCATTCATATTTTTTAAAATCACTGGCTTCACTGTTGCTTAATTTAGAAATTTCTATTTTTATGAGACCTGTTTCTTTTTTTCTTTTCTTTTTGTGGGTTTAATTTCCATCCTGGTTTCCTTTCTACAAGTTGTATATCAGCTGATCGGTTTTCATTCTGCTAAACCAATGTTTCTTAACCTCAACAACTTAAAATGTGTGGACGGGCTGCAGAATTCTAGGAGCTTGAGTCCACATATCTTCAAATTGCCACAATTAGACACATTTCCCTACATTACTCCATGAATAAATTGGTAGTCTTTTACTAATATTTAGTTTCAGTATATTGAAATTTAGATCTGTAACTGTATATTCAGAGCCTTCTTTGCAATGGAAGGTCACTGAAACCACACAAGGTAAGTTGTGTTAAATTGTAGCAACACAGAAGACTTACACATGCAAGAACATTGGATTCCTAAAAATAAAGCACAAAAATCAAGCTCTATTTATAGGTCTGCCTCAGGATTTATAGCTAAATTTCTCCTATCGTTCCAAGATCAGAATAAATTGGACTATTCTTTCCACAGCCTTAAAACTCAGGGACATCTGTTCACTATTATATCCGTCCTAAGAACATTTAGATTGTTATCAAACAATAATAAAATATTTTGCACAAAATAACTTGATCAAAAGTCCTGTATCTTAGTCCTAATCTATTGAATTAGCCACAGTGGTTTGGATTCATATAATATGCTAAATTAAGACTGCATTGAATGAAAACATATAAAACTTCAAGTA